TCTGTGGGGACTTACATGCACTCATGCCTGCCCTCCCCCGCAAATACTGTTTGACCAGGTACACCCAGGCCTGTCGACCAGCCTCACCTTGTTACTCTCTCCACCAAGACTTGTGTTTGCAAGTCTGGACAAATGTCCACAGTGATGGGCATTTGCTCAAAGGGCAGGGTGGGCAAGGCATTCCTTCAGCAGTCAACCCCCAAGTCATTTCTGCACAAATCTGGTAACAACCTCATCCCTGTACACAGAACAGAAGAGAGAGGGCGATAGTTTGCAATATGTTGCTTTATATGACTCAGAGCAACGTGATGCACATAAAAAATAGCAGCAGAAGGACTGAGTTCCAACAGTCCCCCAACAGGGTACTTCTGCAAATTTCTAGTGATAAGCTGGCATATTAAGGGAGAAGGCCCATTTCGCATGGGCAGCCTCTCCCACGTAGTGCTCACCTGGACTGGAGGAGACCCAGCAGAGTGAGGGGGAAGCACTCCAGGCATTTCCCAGTGCTGCATTAAATGTATCCCTGTATCTAATATTTTAAATACTTTGTCTCCACCCACTATTTGCAAACAGCTCCACGCTCAGAAGCACCAGTGTTTATTTCAAGTAAACACAATAGACTAATATTAATTCCAAGGATCACAAAGCAGCAAAGGGGACGGAAATGAGTCTTAGGCTGACGTCACTGAGAGAATGGCATTTTGAGGTGGTTCCTGTGGGTTCCTTTGGGTGGTGCTTCTGCTCTGGTGGATCGAGTGCTCTTGCAAACGTTTATCAGAGAAATCCTTGTTTGGTTTGGGGATCTGACCCTGAGTAGAGGCCCGGGGGCCCAGCTGCGCTCGTTCAAGGAGCTTCTCACTTTAGACGCTCCCGGTGGGAAGCTCAGTGCTCCTGGCACAGCCGGCCCTGCGTGTGCAGTGGGGTGCCCTGGCCGGCAGAACAAGGTGGTGCTTGGCAGAGGGGCAGCAGGGTCTCTGGTGCTGTGGGGACTCATGGGGAGGGACTGGGGACGAGGACCGTGGCCTCTGCTCAGCCTCTGCACACCTGCCCACCCTTCCCTCCCTCGCGTCCCCGGGCGCTGCCCAGCATGGGCATCATCGGGCATTGGCTTCACAGGGCAGCTGCTACGGCAAAGTCAGAGCCCTTGGCCGGAACACGCCTCCCCGTTGTGCAGCCGAGTGACCTGAGGCCAGCGAGGTTAAAGGCTTGGCAGAGGTGACACAAGAGTGACATGTAGAGTTGCAGCTGCGAGGTCTGTGGAGACTTCTATGCCCCACGTTCGAGCAGGCGTTGGGGAAGAGCAGGTCTGCATCCCTGGCGTGGCACCAGCTTGGACTGCTGACCCTCTCTGATCTGCTCTGCAAACAGGTTTTCCTTCCATCGCAGATTCCTGTGAGCCCGAGAGGTAACGGGCCGGGTGCCTGGGCCAGGCTGGGTGGTGGGGGGGCGTGTGGTGTAGACCTTGGCGACAGCGAGGCCGGCACTCGGGCGTGCTTCCCGTGTCTGAGGCACATTCCCAGAGTCAGGCGCGTCCCTTGCTGGCTGGGGGGTGATGCATGGCTCTGCGGGTTCGGGGGCAGATGAGCTACATTCTTCTCCATGACTCGGGTGAGTGAGGAACCAGGAAGGCCTGCAGCATCTTTAGAGAAAACTCTTGGCACCTGAGGGAGGATTAGGTCTAGGGGATCCACCTGCCTGGGAATTCTCAGATGTTTAGATTAGATCAGAAATGTCACAAAACCCACACATAACCCTGAAGTCCTGTTAAGACCTATTACCAGCCCTTTTGGTGGCAGGTGAAGCCTATTCATGGTAAGAAGGACCCACTCTCGGTAGAGAAGACGGTTGTGCTCAGTGTCATGACTCAGTCACGGCTGTGAGTCTGTCACCCACCACGTGTGTGGGGTGCTGGCAGAAACACCCCACACACCCTCGAAGAGCCAGCCGCACTCGGGAAGCTACGAATGTCCCGTAAGGCAGTCAGCGGGCTAGATACCACGTGTTCCTGCAGCTGCCGAAGATCTCGGGGAGGGGTCTGCTGCGCTCTGAGTGTGGATGGTGGGCTCAGACCAACAGGGACTCCGAGAGGCGGCAGGAAAACCGATCTGTGTGAGGGCACAGACAACCATCGCTCCAGGGGGCAGACGTTCCAGCAGGAATGGAAGGGGAGCCGTCTGGCTGGGCAGCTTCAGACAGGCCTGGAGGGCCAGCCTGGGCCCTTAGACTCGGTGGAGCGTGGGCGGGCCTGGAGGGTGCCCCTGGGGACGTGCCGGGCCAGGACGTGAGCGAGGCTCCAACCAGGGGCAGTGGGAACCCAGAGGGAGGATGAACATGGTGGCATTTTCAGGGAGTTCAGCCGCGTTTATGACCACGTGGACATTCCTGGTACAAAGACGTCGAAGAGAAAGCCGCGGGTGGGTCATGCCTGCCTCCCGGAGCTGCGGATGCAGTGCCAGGGGCTGACTGGAGGAGGCGTCCTCGGGCCTGAGGTGCAGCTGAGGCTTCTGCAGGAGGTACCCTACAGCAGGGGTGGCAGCCGCGGCCCAGGACTGTCCATGTGCAGGGCCTCGCGCAGCGGGCTGGCCCACGGCCGAGTGAGCCAGGCATTCCATGAGGACCAGACCAGAGCGGGGACCGCGGTGTCCTGTCTGAACGCACAGGGAGTCCAGAGGCTCAGAGCGGGCCTGGCCGGGGCCACAGGAGGGTCAGGAGCGGCTGCTTCTGCATGGACAAGCGCGGGAAGGTGGGGAGCAAGGGATGAGATGCGGAGGGATGGCGGGCTTTCATAGGGCAGTTCGCTCCTGGCTGTGGTTCTACCAGTTTTGAGGCGGCCCTTACAGTCTTCACGTGGCTCTTGTTGAGCATGGCCTCGTCACTCACTCAGACCCTTGGGTACTTTTCTTGGCGTCCTTCTCACTATCAGCACTTTAAAAAACGACCCTGGCAAACGCTGCGAAGGTGATGGACTAGGTGGGAGGGCTGTCAGCTGGGGGTAGGGCCAGGTTAGAACCGCAGGAAGCTGGCATCCTGCAGGGGAAGGGGGCAGCTTGAGGGCTGGCGGGCGGGCATCCCCTGTGGCTTACCAGCTGGGCTTCCCTGGAGGGGACTGTTGAAGGCCCTGGCGTCCTGGGTTTCCCCAGCACTGGAATGTAGCAGGTGCACGTGATAGGAGACGTCCCCGCACACACAGGAGGGTCTAACAGGTGACACAAGGGGTGGTTTCGCTCTTGGTGGTGTTAGTCTGGCAGTTGAATCCATCATATCAGTAAGATTCTGGACCGAGGAGGGGCAGTGGGATGCAGAGCCTGTCACAGATAATGGTGGGAGCCCCCAGTGATCACCAGGAAGGACAGCTCTCCTGCCAGGTGCACCTCTGGGACCTGCGAGGCATAGCAGCGTCTGTGCTGGGGTGGGGGGAGAACACACCCCTCCCTGCAAGCTGCATGGTGCCCTGCGCACTCGGTGGTACCAGCTCCGGACTCTGCCCTCGCATTTGCAAGAGGGAGAGCGGAAAAAGAAATGGGGGGATTGCTCTTTCCAAGGGGAGTCCAGGCCACTGGAGCCAGGAGCCTGGGGACCTAGGAGAGAAGTCCTCCCCTCCCCCCCTTCTCCCCTCCCCCCTCCCCTCCCCCTCCCCCTCCCCCCTCTTCTCCCCCTCCCGTCCTCCTCCCCTCCCGTCCTCCTCCCCCTCCCGTCCTCCTCCCCCCTCTTCTCCCCCTCCCCTCCCCCTCCCCCTCTTCTCCCCCTCCCCTCCCCCTCCCCCCTCTTATCCCCCTCTCCACTCTTCCCCCCTTCTCCCCTCCCCCCTCCCCTCCCCCCTCTTCTCCCCCTCCCGTCCTCCTCCCCTCCCGTCCTCCTCCCCCTCCCCTCCTCCTCCCCCCTCTTCTCCCCCTCCCCTCCCCTCCCCCTCCCCCTCTTCTCCCCCTCCCCTCCCCCTCCCCCCTCTTATCCCCCTCTCCACTCTTCCCCCCTTCTCCCCTCCCCCCTCCCCTCCCCCCTCTTCTCCCCCTCCCGTCCTCCTCCCCTCCCATCCTCCTCCCCCTCCCCTCCTCCTCCCCCCTCTTCTCCCCCTCCCCTCCCCTCCCCCTCCCCCTCTTCTCCCCCTCCCCTCCCCCTCCCCCCTCTTATCCCCCTCTCCACTCTTCCCCCCTTCTCCCCTCCCCCCTCCCCTCCCCCCTCTTCTCCCCCTCCCGTCCTCCTCCCCTCCCGTCCTCCTCCCCCTCCCCTCCCCCTCCCCCTCTTCTCCCCCTCCCCTCCCCCTCCCCCCTCTTATCCCCTCTCCACTCTTCCCCCCTTCTCCCCCTCCCCCTCCCCTCCCCTCCTCTTCCCCCTCTTCTCCCCCTCCCCCTCCCCTCCTCTTCCCTCCTTTTCTCCCCATCCCCCTCCCCTCCCCTTCCCTCCCCCTTCCCTCCTCCCTGTCTTTCCCTCCTCCTTCCTATTCTCCTCCCTCCTCTTTCCCTCTCCCCTTCAGATGAATAAAATTATTTAAAAAGTGATGTATTTTTTCAAACTTATATTCAGCATAGTATTTAAAAAGCTTTGAAAATTTTAATCATTCCTGTCTGGCAATTCCCTGCTAGTTATTTTTATACTAAATAGTTCTTAATGACTTTGATAAGTTTTTTAAATGGTTCCTGTCAAGAGAGATTTTAAAATACCAGTCTCTTTCCTTTCTGCTTTTGATTCCTACCGCTCCCGTGGGAGCCAAATACTCAAATCTGTTTCCATAACAATTTTTCTTTTTCTCTTGCAAGACTATCTTGTTGGTTTGTTGGGGTTGATTTCAATCTTTTATGAGAGTGCTGCGGTGTGTGGGTCAGAAAAACACAGCCTTTCGGTGGAATTAGTGGACTGAGGGGCAAAGAGCCAACCATGGGGCGGGAGTCCCCTGTGGGACGGCCAGTGGCCTCAGACGTGTTTTGTGAGCGTGTCTGTGTTTTCCGTGTAGCTGCTCCGGATGCTGGGGCAGTTCTGAGCTCCTTTTTCATGGTCTCTTCCAGTGTCCTGGGACCAGCCGTGACCTTCAGAGTGAGCGCCAGCGTCCAGAACCTGACGACGGCGGACGTGGTGCAGGCTACAGGTAAGGCCCCGTTAACACAACCCCGCATGAGCACGCATGCCCCAGGTGGAGGAGATGCACGGTCTCCCCAGCACCCCGACATCGGACGGGGAGACGGGACGGCCGGGTCGGTGGGCACGGCTGGAGCCTCATCGCCGCGGTGCGGCCCACCCGGCTGCAGGTGGAGGACATGGCTCCCTCTGAGACAGAGGCCAGGGCCGGGAGGGCAAGGGTCTGGGGTCTGCAGCGGCCCCGGGCCCCCGTGTGGACAGAACGAGTGCCTGCTGCTTTCGGCGTCCCAGCCAGGGTGTGCTTGTCTGTCACGGCCCAAGACAGTGCAGGAGGGAGGGTTTAACAGAAACAAGGGGCTTCGCTACAGCTTTGCTTTGAAAGCCCTGGTTGTTCTGCCCACCTGTCCTGAGCCCCGGCGAGCCACGTCCGTACCGTCTGCGGGCACTGTTGGCTGCGGGGTGGGCAGCTCCCCCACTCCAGCTAACGGGATAAACTGTCCGTCTCATCTCTTTTGGTTGCTGTTGAATTTTATTTGTCAGATATCTTGGTGGTTAGTAACTCTTCCTGCTGAAAGTGATGATTTCAGGGGCCAGTAGTTTTTGGTTAGGGGAGAATTCCCTGCAACGTTGTACCTCCAGAAACCTGACCGATTTCAGCTCTGAGGAGAGCCGAGTACCCCAGGCTTCACTGCAGTGTCATGTGTCGCTGTGAGGCCGGAGCGGCTGGCTGTCACTCGGCGAGCTGTACGGTGTCGTCCCTCAGCACGGCGGCCTGATGCGGCCCCAGCAGATTCCGTTGCAAACACTCTGCCTCCTGAAACAGAGCGGGTTCTGTGTCGGTGGCTCGGACCCCTCCCCCCTTCCCTCCAGCGTCCGTTCTCCCGCCCTAGCTGCTCAGCAGAAGGGATTATTGACCATATTTAAGACCAAACCAGTTCCTGGTTTTTTCAGGCAGAAACATTCACAGTTGTTTTACAAGTGGCCGTTCACGGCGGTGCTGGGAAGTAACGCTTTCAAAACCAGATTTGCTGGAACTTCAGGATGCAATAATGAATGGAATAAAATGGAAGGAAGTTTTTCCATCTTTGACAATCATGACAGTACACTCACTGACCATAGCCTTCATTTATTTTATTGCTTTCTTGGGAAAATGAGGTTGATTATTTAAAATCTAGTTTCTAGGTCATTTTAAATGTGTTCATGTTGAATACCAAAGCGCTATATGCCAAGGGGAGATTACATGTCAGATGTATGTTTGAATGTCATAGTAACCATTTCTAAAGACCTGAATTTGCTACATTATAGCGTGTGTTTGTGTTAGCTCACAGCTGTGCAAGCTGAGCGCTTGTTGCTCATCATGCATGTGCAAACGGACGACACACGTGCATAGTTTCAAAAAATTATTTCTTTTATGTTGTGAATCATTTCAGGATGTTAAGAATGTACCTGATGCTACACAGGAAAAAGATGATGAAAGATAACTTTGTGACCATTAGGGTCCTATGGTTCGGCAGTAGACTGACCACCGTGTAGTGGGCACTGGGCACCGAGGGCCAGGTCCCCAAGGGTGTTGGTACCAGGAGGAGAAATGAGCTCACTGAGCACTAGACTTATTCGTGTGTTAACAAGGAAAGGGATTCTGGGGCTTCTTGTTTTCAAAGACGATGTGGAGCCCTTGTTACAAGCTACTGAATGGCATGGTTGGGGCAGGCCCTGCTTGGGTGGGCTGTGGTGGTGCTCAGCACCTGCTGGAACAGGGCCCTCTGCTGGGATTGCTGCCGCAGACCCAGTCACTGTGGTGGGTTCCCGTGGTGGGTTCCCTCGGGGGCTTCCCGGCACCACGCTTGAGGCCCTTCTTGGGGTTTACGACTGGTGAAGGGGACACAACCCCGCTGATGGAACTTCAGGGGTATTTGTTGGATAACCTCATGCAAAATGGTACCAAACTTAATAGGCTTGCAGTTAATACCACGTTAGCTCTCATCAAACGTCAGTGGCGTATGTCCTGACGGGTGGATGCAGCTGGTTCTTGTTCGGAATCTCTTCCTCGTATTACATGACTCTTTTCTGGATTCTTCGAACCTCGGCATGAACACAAGGCGCTAGTGAACGCTGAAAGTAAGTGGGCGCTGCACAGGGAGGAACCTTTGTATTCCCAGGTGCAGAGAAACCCTGTTTACTGTGTGAGTGTCCAGGGCATGCGTTCACAATCCAACATCTGCACACACTACAAGGTGCCCACAACTGGAAGTCGAGTAACTGGTACTTCTCATCTTTCTGGCCATGCCATCTGATCAAATTGGGCAGAACAGAGAAGTCCTTTTCTACTCTTCATTTACTTGGTAGGTTATTCTCAAGTAGCATATTTCTAATCCGTTTTTGCATTTCTCCTTTCAGAGAAGATATGGTTAAGTCATCTTTTAGGAAAAGCGTTTGCCTTCCCCTCGGCAGCGGCGCACACCCCCAGCCCCTGGGTTCCCTGACTTAGGGCCGGGAGCTCCCGCGTGCACTGCCCTGCCTCCAAGATCACCTGTTCCTACAGCTTGCCTCTCCTGGCACCCCGGGGAAGCTGGGCTTCTGGCTGGTGGCGCATTTGACTCACTCGCTGACCATGTAGCTGCTGGTTGGCCGTCCTTGGCGGGCGTCTCCCTCTCACCTTTGTGTCGTCAGCTCACGCTTGTCTAACAAAGCCTCTGAGACTTGCCCTTCGGCTAATGTTTTTTCTTTCATCTTGGGGAGACAGCACGTGCCATTTCAAAGGACATCTCCTTACTCAAAGATGTGATGTCTTTCCTCGAGTTCTAGTAACCGGAGCCTGGCCCCTTCTCACTCGCCTGTCGCACGTCCGCAGGAGTTAGCGAGTCTCCTCTCTGCGGTGTTGCTGTCCCGCCTGTGGTTTACACATTGTCTGCACGGAAGAGGGAGAGCCGCATGGCCTGTGGACTCCGCTCAGGGCTCATCTCTGGACCCTGAGGCCTCAGGAGCATGTTTCGAGGGTTGGACTCCAGAGTGAGAGATCGGGACAGCTGTGCCCCAAACGTCTGACCCCAGAGCCCCCGGGGCAGTGAGTGCTGCCGAGCCTCCTGGACTCCGGGTAAAGGGGGCAGGTGTGTCTATTTCGGAAAGGGTAATGAGTCCAGCCTGGCACAGCGAAATGAGCCCTTCCATGATGCATACTCAGTTCACCCCTCTGAACTGTTGCTCCCAAGCGAGCATCAGTGCTTCATGCTCATTTAGGCTCTCTCCTGGGCAAGGCACCGTGCAGGCCCTAGGCTGACGCCAGCACCCAGAGGACAGCAGTCTGCCCAGAGCCCGGCCGGTCTTTCAGAGACACGGACAGAGTGCCCGGTGCCAGGGGTTGGGGGGCTCTCCAGATAAGGCTGCACAGCGGAGCTGGCCTTGGGCGGCGGCTGGGACTAGTGTGGCTCTTAGGGGGCTGGAAGGTGAGGAAAGGTTGGTCACATGAGGGACAGCAAGGAGGGCCGAGGCACAGAGCCCACATACCAGGGACAGGGCGGGGAACGGGGCTGGGGGCTGGAGTCCAAAATCGGTCCCGAACCAGACTTTGCAACGTGGGACTGTGACTTTGGGGTCTACAGGGAGCCCTCAGGCTTGGCTTCCTGTGGCTGAGGGAATCAATCGGCTTTCCCTCCTGCGACACGGGGCCGGCCGGGGGTCCACACACTGTGCCTGTGACCGGGATCCAAAACCTGGAGGCCTCTGGGCTGGGCAGGGGGAGGGGAGACCCGCGGCTGCATGAGCTGCACACTCACGCCGTGTGCCGTCCACCCCAGGCGACCCGCTGGGGGACATGCCACTGGGGTCAGCGAGCGCTCCGGGCGGTGCTGTGCATGTCACTGGCCACGTGTGGCCCGGAACCTGTTTGTGGTCATTGCACCCTCGCTGAGGTTTGGACCGGAGCAAACGTTGGGCGGGCTGGTGGACCTCAGTGTGGACAGGAAGTTGTACTTTTCCAGTGAAAAATAAGGAGGCGGCTCTGGAAATGCTAGAAAAGACCCACTTGATAGGAAGATTTGTGTTCATTTACTGGTGAAGGAGAGAGCTGTGAAAAATTAATAAAAGCTGAAGAGTCCACAGGATCCTACATGCTTCTCTGAGATGTAAAGTTAGAGAATTGGAGGATTTTTAGGTGAAAGCGTTGTTGGTGTTCCTCTTCTTCGAGCCCTCACGACACAGATGGGGAGGCTCAGGCCAGAGCAGCCGGTGGGCTCTGTGGTGAGTGAGGCGTGCTGGGGCACCCCAGGGGGGGCCGGCTGATCTGCCACGCAGGAGGGACGGGACGGGCTGGCCTGTCATTTCCAGTCAAGCTGGCTGCTCAGAAATCAGCCTTTGTTGAGGTTCCAGGGCGCAACCCGGGAGGTGGGGCTCCCACTGGCCCAGCTGCTTTGGGCAGATTCCAGGCTGAGGGGGTGCAAGGCCTGGCTGGACTGCAGGGCCCCAGCCAACGGGCAAGGGCCTGCCGGCGAGGTCAGTGGGGAGCATGCTGGCGGGGGACAGCGCGGGAGGGCGGGGCCGCTGCATAGCATCCACCAGGCTGTGGATCACTAGAACGCGGCACGGGAGGAAAGTACCATGGGCAGTGGACCAAGACACAGAAGGAAGGGCGAGGGGAGACGGGCGCCCTGCCAGGATGGAGTGGCAGGTCGGAGGCTGGAGACTGGGGACTCAGCGTGTGAGGCAGAGCTCGGGAAGGTCACCCCTGAGAGCAGAAGACAGCTTGTCCTCCAGGTCTGACCGCTCTGTGTCCTGTGTTGATTATCGCTCGCAGGGGAGGAGTTGAGCTTATCCGACTGAACTGATAGATTATACGTTTCAACAGCAAAGTGTAGAAGGAGGCCTCTCATCCCTTTGAACATCCTGAGAAACGTTCCATCTTGTGCAGCCCACAGAATAAGAAATCATCTCTTTAAAAGCATCAGTGAGGTTAGGAGTGGAATGCTCTCTCTGAGGGAGACTGAGTTCTGAGGCGCTTTGCTGTAATGCGGGCTT